CTAACCAAAACGATGCAAGCCTTGGAGATATCCTCCCCACCCTCCAAGTTCTGATGCTAGCTTTGTATTGGAGGCTTGTAACAGTCCAGAATAAGTCTGCTACTCTATTTCATCCTGCCTCGGAAGGAGCAAAAGCATACGCACTTTTTTGACAATCAGCCGCCGTATTGTGTTCATCTTTCAACTAGAAAGTGCATTCTGACTCAAACAGACAATGCGAGTGACCAAGTTGATCAAATCCATATGGGCCCAAGGAATACGCGCACAGAGTCGAGCACAATTCGTTTCGTGCTCTTCCTTACTCTCCGTCAACCGCGCGGAGGAACCGTATACGGGTTAGGATAATTATTTGATTGGACAGCAAGGGGGGGGGGGCTTACGTTGACATAGAAGATGCCCAAACCAAAAACAGTGCATTCAGTTGCCAATACATATGTGCATACATATATTTTGATGATCAGGCACCAAACAAGGGTAGGATTGTTATCAATCAATATGCGCAGAAGCGTAGGTAGGTATCACTTTGTTGAAGATTTTGGTGCTCATTTTTCGAACACAAAGAGATTACCGTTTCGCAACCTCAAATTACCAGGATCTTATACTCGTTGTTGTGCGCAACCCGTTTGGGGTTACAATGATCAGAGGCCTCAGCTTCATTCACTCATTCATTCATTCAATATAGGGAAACCTCATGTTTGGGCACAATTACAGCACCTGGGCATATTCTGACCCATGGCTATCTAAACCGTTCAAAACATCGCAAGTATGGAAACACAGATTGTCTACCTTGAACACCAACTGAAGTGTAGTAATACTATGTCACACGTGAATAGAATCATATGATGACATTGGATTTTCTCATTGAATGCATGCTCGGAAGTAATTGCTTCAATCTACATCATTGTTTGTGATGATTGTACGTGTTGTTACGCGATTCGTACGTACGGTACTTTGCTAGCCTTTGGTCGAATTTACGCACCCCGAGGTCAATATCAATATCAGAAGATAGTCAGAACGTCTCGGATTCTTGTCTTTGGTGGTTCTGTAATGATAAAACAATATGTTAACATACGGTATGGTAAACAACAAGGTTGAAATCGAAAAGAAACGTACATTCGAAGTAGTTTGACCAGCAGTCCAACAAAGAGCACCGATGCGTGGTGATCAGAGCAAAACAGTGCGCGAACAAAGATGGCCGGCCGCCAAGACAAAGACGGGTTACAGTCAACCAATAGGAAAACAGGAAACAAGGAAGATTGTCCGAAAAGAGTTTGACTACTGACAACGATGAAAGAATTAAACATGTACAAATGTCACAGTACGTATACAAAAAGCCACATCTGCGTCCGATCATGCGTGTGCTGCTCCAAAGACCAAATTTGATTAAAACGAAATAGCTGATTGCTTGAACGAGAAACTGCGCTTCGATGACAATAAGTGGGACATAACTCTTTTGACCACACATACATATACACCGGTTTTTCACAATACTTTGAACCCGTTCTGATGGAAACCCTCGCGAACGTTCCAGCACACCTTAGATTGAATGTAAGCAACTTGGTTGTGAATGCAACACAACGTACAATATTGTACTGTTGAATACACGCTGCAAGAGCACTTTTGTATGAAATTTTATACTAGTTAATTCGTCAAGTTTTGCAGAATAATACCATCAAGATGACACTGTGACACCGTTGCGACATCCGGCTGTTTGCGGAGGGTCAACTGTTTCCTACAGCAGTTCGGCCAGTGCTACGGTGCAGAGATTTGTTCACTACGTGAACATGATAAAAATAAATTTTCGGTATTCGAACACCGCTGTCTACGTCACGTTGCACGAGTCTGGTGGGGTAACCGGATGAGCAATGCTGAGGTTAGGCGTAAGGTTTTAGGCAATGCCGGTCGCCCACTGGAGCGAGTGATCGATCTCCATAGATTACGCT